GCGATGCCAGGACCAGCACGTCCGGCCCCCCCCCACCGCACGATAGATCGTCACCGTTGCCCGGGAGGGGGGGCGAGCCAGACCTCCCCGTAGCATCGCTCGGACGCGCGCATTGTTTTCTCGGCGAGGACCCTCGAGGGCCATCCTGGACCATCGAGCAAAAAAAAAGCACGCACGAAACCGACAAATGCACGGGAAATGGACGTCCGAGCGACGGCAAGTTCCCGCATTGTGAACAAAAATGCGACGGGAGGTTTCTCGCTATGTTCAGCCGCTGGTCTGCGCGGAGGGCCCCAGGGGCCCGAAGGGCAGCGAAACACTTCCACGACCCCTTCCTCAAGAGCACAGAGCCCCGACCCCCTCGCGCTGTGAAAAAGTCAGAAGGCGAGGTTTTTCGTCATTCTTGGCTCCAGGGGCCCTTCCCGGGCCTCGGGACAGTCCAAACACGACTCAGGATGAAAGACCGGCCCCCCGGAAGAGGTCCAGACCTCTGGGGGGGTCGACGTTGCCCCAAAAAAGGGTCTGGGCAGTGACCTTTACGCGCCAGAAGATAAGAATAGTCTCAAAGCGAGGGAGGTAACTATCTCCGCCCTGTGGGAGGGAACAGGCTGCCATGGTCAACCCACCATGGGCTGCCAGGGAATCGAATTTCAAGAGCTGGAGTAGGCCCTAACCGGGTTCCGCTCCTCAGAGGCCGCCTCCACGATGGGTGCGGGCACGCTCTTGAGGGAGTAGACCTGTCGGGTCGGGCGTAAGGGTGGGGTTGGGCTGGGGGGATGAAAGGTCAATTACAGTGAGGGTCTTGACCTAAGGAACCATAAATAAGGAACGAAGCCCCTTGTGAACGACCGAGCACCTTTTGAAAAGTAAGTTTTCCTTACTCAAGGCTTTCACTGTAATCAGCTCACGCAGATAGTGTTCTCGGCGCCTCCCGGCGCAAGAGGTGCCCATGCATCGGAGAAAGGGTATTGAGGCGGGGCTGAAACCAGCTGCATGCAGCAAATATCGTTCTGTCCCTAACCCGCCTCCTTCGCCCGATCTGAAGATCTCACGAACACAAACAACTACAGAAGCATAAACTTGCGGAGGTCTGCGCGGATCTCTTGGATCGGCGCTGGGCCCCCCTCACCTGGCGCGCGGAGCGCACCAGGGATAGCGCCGGAGGCGCCGCCAAGGGATCCAGCTGCGACCCAAGAAATCTGCGCGGACCCGCTTTCGGGCATCTGTGTCTGCGAGGGCCCTGGGGATTTTCCATGGCGCACTTCTTTCACGCTGGAGTCGATGCTTAACCATCCCGGGGCTCGTGGAGGATCCCGGGAGTCCACAGGCAGTGAAAATCGCAGGAGGAGGAGGAGGAGGAGGAGGAGGAGAAGGAGGAGGAGGAGAGAGGAGGAGGAGAAGGAGGAAGAGGAGAGAGGAGGAGGAGGAGGAGGAGGAGGAGGAGGTAGGAGAGGAGGAGGGAGGAGGAGGAGGAGGAGGAGGAGGAGGAGGAGTGAGGAGGAGGAAGGAGGAGGAGGAGAGGAGGAGGAGGAGGAGGAGGAGGAGGAGGAGGAGGAGGAGGAGGAGGAGAGGAGGAGGAGGAGGAGGAGGAGGAGGAGGAGGAGGAGGAGAGGAGGAGGAGGAGGGAGGAGGAGGAGGAGGAGGAGGAGGAGGAGGGAGGAGGAGGAGGAGGAGGAGGAGGAGGAGGAGGAGGAGGAGGAGGAGGGAGGAGGAGAGGGAGGAGGAGGAGGAGGAGGAGGAGGAGGAGGAGGAGGAGGAGGAGGAGGAGGAGGAGGAGGGGGAGAGGGGTGCTTCTGCGTGGCGGACCTGGGAGGCCGGGACCCGCAGCACCGTCGACCGCGGCGAGAGCGTCCGCTTCGCCACGGCGCCGGTGCGCCCGCCGGAGACGTGCCGGATGTCGAAGTGGACCGTGGCCTCAGGCCGGGCATGTCCCCCGACGGGCGGATTTTGGATGAAAAATGAAAAATAGTCCATAATGTTTTTTCAAACAAAAAATTAAACAAATGGTAGACCAAAATCAAACAAATTGCAAACAACAAAAAAAAATCCGCAAAACAAATCCAACAAATTGTAGAAACATCGTCCCCAGACTCTTCTATGACTATGTTTGAAGGTTCCTCCTGTAGGGGGGCAGGCCCGACGACTCACCCGCGGCCCGTGGCCTCTCGTCTGACCATGTCGGAGACGAAGTTCCGCCGCCGCAGGTCGAACTGGATGCCCTCCTCGCGAGGGACTGCGCGCAGGGGCGGCCTCCTCCTCCTCCTCCTCCTCCTCCTCCTCCTCCTCCTCCTCCTCCTCCTCCTCCTCCTCCCCCGACGAGGCCAGCAGGGGCCGGCACGGGCGGCTCTGCAGCACGCAGCGGGAGCGCGCAGCGCGGACGCGGGACGTGCGCGCAGGCCCAGAAGGCGTGCACCACGGGCACCAGTGGCCTTCTTGACGCGCGGCTTCAGTGACTACCTACCAGACCACCCCAACCCACCCCGAAGACCCGGATGTGACCCGAATTTCGGGTGGGGGGGTACGGGTTCCATGTGTTTTTTCAATGTTCCCCGACCCCCCCCTACTGGAAATGGAAGGCAAGTTGAGACCTTCGGGTTGGGTTGGGGTGGTTTGGTGGGTGGTGATGTTTGTCACAACGTCGACCCCCAGAGGTCTGGACCCCTTCCCGGGGGACCAGTTTTTCATCTTGAGTTGTTTTTTGACAGTCCCGAGGCCCAGGAAGGGCCCCTGGAGGCCGAAAATGGCGAAGAGCCTCCCGTCGTGATCTCTTCACAACGCGGGGGGGTCTGGGGAGGTCACTCTTGGCGCGCAGCCCGTCCTCTGTCTCCGTGCAGCACTTGTCGTAGGTGTAGACGTGGTCCCAGCAGAGCGGGTTCCCCTTGGCGCCCGGCGCGCTGCAGCACGCCTTATATGCCGGGAGGGCGGGGAGGCGCGCAGGCAGAGGCTTCGGACGTCCTCGGGCGGCAGCTGCCTGCTGGCGCTGACCCCGACCTCCTCGCGTTGCGACAATTGTCGCCCTCCGGCTGCACTTGCCCAGCCCGTCGAAACACGAGCCGGTTTTGGACGGCCCCAGGGGCCGAACGGAGCCTCCCGGTGCAGGACACGTGCAACTACTGCCTCTGCAGGTCTATTTCTCTAATAGCGTTTGGCTTTATAGGATCATGGAAATATGAATGGAAATATGAAATCAGATCTCCCAGGGACTCCTGGCAGCTTACCTGGACGTTTCCTCGGACTGTGCCGTCACCTCTTTGTGATAAAACAGGATGCCTCATTGGCGTTTGTGAATGAATTGCGAGGACGGCTCGAGCGGAGGCCTCGTTTTTTCTGTGAAGTGAAACACGTCTCCAGCGGAGGCCACGGTTTCTGAGTCAGTCGCAAGACCCTCAGAACTGTCTCAGGACCTTCCCAGAAGCCTCTCGAGAGCCTCAGGAGCCTCTCATACATCGGCCCAATGAAAGTTCCTTGAATTTTCATCACGACGCTGGCCAGCGGAAGTCGACGGAAGTAAAACGAGGCGGAAGACGGGGGAAGGCCGCTGGAAGGCTTGCCAATGTCAGCGGAATGAAACGACGCCCCTTCCGAACCCCCTACCCCCCGTAGAAGCCTAGCACTGTTGTCTTCCTCCGTGGGCCGGGCGGGATCCCGCCTGGCTTATTCCGCTTTAATATTATAAGTTTAGTTCAGGACGATCAAAATCCCACCCATTAAAAATGGGGTAGACCAAAATCCCGGGTCGTTCACGGATCCCACCATTCTGGGATCGGCTCGAAGTAAGATGGGGCTCATAAGTTGCAGTATGATTGCCGTGTTGGGGTCGTCCTCAGGTCATCTTGAGATCATATCCCGGTCATGTTTGGATCACGCAACCATCGCGTGGTCATTATGAGGCCACCCTGGGTGCGCTTGGATCCATCTTGTTGCCATCGGGCCATCTCGGCGTCACGCGTTGCTCACGTGTTGCGTCATCTGCGAGTCGGCCTGACACGGTCCAGAATCCATGGCGGGATCGCGTTGGGGTGGCATCATCCTGGGTCCTCTGGACGTTATCGTCCGTGGCCTGAGGCATTCCTGGAAGCATGTTGTGGCCATGGGACGTCTTGGGGTCGCGTGCGTGCGAACGCTGAGCACGCGCGCGCGACTTTTCATCTTGCCGACGGGTTTACATACATATTATTCCTCTTGCGAGTTTCCAAGGAAACTTTTGTTGGAGCCAAGTAACCCTCTCAAGAGCCCCCCAGGACCTCTGAATGATTTATATGATTGGTCATCTAAGGCCTCATTACCGCTTCGTCATACCATGGCCCATCATATCGCTAAAGAACTTAAGGACATGTGTCGAGGTCATGTTTCCGTGGCGCCACAGGTCATCCTTCAAGACATGCGCAAGCGATTCGAACTTTGTGGCGACGACCATCAACTAGTTAAAGAAGACGAGGTGCGGGGTCCAAAGACGAGAGCGACGGGTATCGAAGACACCAGAAAACCACCCGCGGACGCGTTCTGGTAACGATTCCAAGGGAGATCCAGCTGTGGCGACGAGAGCGCCCCAAGAGACCGAACAAGATCGAGAACTTCTGCGACGCTCTGGGGTCAGCATCACTTTGCACCACTACCCTCGTCAAAATTAACCTCAACAGTTGCTGGCACGTCATTTCGATTTCGGCGCGCCCCTCAATGTCGACATGCCGCCCCTTCAATGTCGGGGCGAGGGCAAAGATAGTCTGACCGAAGTTGACTCGAAAGTTTGACGTCGACCGACACTGGAGGGGCGGCGCACTCAAGTACCCCGCACTCATCGATACTCGGCCCCAGATCTTCCGACATGCAGTTCAACCACGTCAGACATTCTTGAGGTTAATTTTGACGAGGGTTGCGGGACAGATGGACAGACACGCGGCTGGACCCGCGCGCGCAGCACCTCGAAGCTGCGCGCTGGATGCACGTGCGCAAGCCTGGCGTGCCCGGACGTGGCGGGGCCGAGCGCTGGAAAGACGCGTCCGGCCACATCCTGCCGGCCGTGCTGCACCAGCTCGTCCTCCCGAGTGGTTGCGGTTGGCCCTGGGGGGGGGGAAGCGAGGGAAGGAGAGGGCCTTCTCAGAAGGCGGCGGGGCCTCCTCAGAAGGCGACGAGGAGAAGGAGCTGGCGGCGAGCGAGGGGGGGGGGAAGCGAGAGAAGGAGAAGGCCTTCTCAGAAGGCGGCGGGGCCTCTCAGGAGCCCTCGCGCCTTCTCGGAAGTGCTCTGCGTCTTCGGAGAAAGAGGCTTAGAAAACCTCTCAGAAGGCCGGGGGACTTCCGAGTCTTCTGAGAAGGCCTTCTCCTTCTCACTTCTCCCCGCGGCTCGCTGCCGAAAGGGGTCTTACGCGAGGCGACATATCGACCTTACGCCGCGGCGTACGCGGGCCGCCAGCGCGGCACGCCACGCTGGAAGCGAGGGCGATGACGCGCGACCTTACGCGGGCAGCTTGCGCGCGAACGTCGGCCCAGTCGACCCCGTTTTCTCTCGTCGCTCACGTGCAGACTCCCTTCAGGCCCCGCCCCAGCGCGGTGCGGTTCGCAATTCTTCGGCTCTGAAGGCTGAAGAGCTCTGTGCACCGCGCCATTCCGAGGCCGAGACGCGACGGACGCCTCGGGAGACGACAGCGCGGCAGGGTGCACAGAAGTCGCCCGCGGACAGGTAGAATTCCCCCCCCCCGTCAGTGTATGCACGCCTCTGTGCCGCTGCTGGCCGTTTGCTCGTGGACCTGCTCCAGGACCTGCCTCCTGGAGGTGGCTGGGCAAGGGTTCTGCCCTGGTGAACCCCGCGAGAACCTGTCCACAGGGGGCGGGGACCCGAAATCCGCTCAAAAATCGGGCCCCAGACTTCCGTTGCTCGCATCGTACTCAAGGATCACATCCCAGAAATGATTTCGAGCACCCTGAAAAGTCTCGCAACAGTGTCGATCGGGTATCGCCTCCAAGGGCCCGACACGTGAAAAACGTACAATTTCGGTACTTTCTTGGTGCTCGAAATTCTTTCTGGAGGGAAGGCTAAAGTAGGTTGGAAAATCATAGCCCCGAACCCCTCCCATGGGCCCATGGGCCCGTCTGGTGCAGCGCTTTTACCCCGGATCCGCCTTGGACGGTCCCGGGGTCCCGACACGGCCCCCAGGAGCCGAGAAGGGTCGAAAACCTCCTCGAGCCCATAGCCTCGAACATCGCCCTCCTCCTCCTCCTCCCCTTCCTCCTCGTCTCGCTCCTCCTCCTCCTCCTCCTCCTCCCCTCCTCCTCCTCCTCCTCCTCCTTCCTCCTCCTCTCCTCCTCCTCCTCTCCTCCTCCTCCCCTCCTCCTCCTCCCTCCTCCTCCTCCTCCCTCCTCCTCCTCCTCCTCCCCTCCCTCCCTCCTCCTCCTCCGCCTCCTCCTCCTCCTCCTCCTCCTCCTACCTCCTCCTCCTCCTCCTCTCCTCCATCCATCATCTCCTCCTTTATCATCTCCTCCTTTATCAGTTCCCTCCTCTCTCCTCCTCCTCCTCCTCCTCCTCCTCCTCCTCCTCCTCCTCCTCCTCCTCCCCCTTCCCGCTCGCCAGAGCCAGTGCTGGGGCCACCTCGGGCCCCCAGCCAGCTCCAGGACCCGCTGCCTTCTCCCGGGGCTGTGCGCCCTTGGGGGGGGGGGGAACACCGAGCTGGAATCGGCGATACATCGTCGATAGGGGCCTGACGGCCCACCCCGCCCAGGAACGTGCGGATTCGCCATCAGGGGGCGTGTCGCCGATCTATCGGCGCTGCATCGCCGATTCCAGCTCGGTGCTTCCCCCCCCCCCCCGGAGCCTGACCCCCCCCCTATAGCGTTGCCCCTGCGCCCCCGCCCGCCCCCGAGGGAGCCTCGGCGGTCCACCCGCTCACCCAGCAGTCCGCCGAGGAGATGGCCAGAAGAAGAAAAAACGGCACAAACCTAACCCTTCGGCGCTCCGCGCGGACTCCTTTTAACGGGAGAAGAACGGTATAAAATAAACTTTTTCGCTGTCGGGGGCGCCTGTCCCAGGGCGGCTGGAAAGTTTATACCCCTACGGTGCCACCGTAAGGGTATAAACTTTCCAGCCGCCCTGGGACAGGCGCCCCCGACAGCGAAAAAGCCGATTTTATACGCTTCTTCGCTCGCTGATCCTTGGATCCGCGCTGGACCCCCCCCCCTCCCTGGCGCGCGGAGCGCGCCGGGGGCGGCGCCGGAGGGGCGACGCCCGGGGGCCCCAGCGCCGACCCCGAGCAGCCCGCGCGGAGCTCCCAAAAGCTTACGATCGTGCCGTCGTTTGCTCTTCGGATGGCGGCCACGTGGGGCTCCCGCGCGATCGCCGCGGCCAGCAGCAGGCCGCCGGCCCGCCGGCCCGCCGCCGGCGCCCCCATGGGCATGGGGGGGGGGGTCGCGGGCGTCGCGCGTCCGCCCCACCCCGAGATCCTGGCGTCGCGGCTTCTGCGGGCAAGGCCGATCTCCAGGTCCACTGGGTCTCGGACTTTCTGGGGGGAGGCGCCACGAGGCCAAGAAGCAGTGGGCGTGGATAGCAAAACACCTGGCCTCCAGAGGCCTGATGTCGATCCGTGTCCACTGCACCTCTGGCTTCCGGGGAAGGGAGCCCGGACCTCCAGGACACCATGGATATGAACAGCACATGTTGATCCATGCCCACTGCACCTCGGGCTTCCGGGGAAGGGAGCCCGGACGTCCAGGACACAGTGGATATGAACAGCACATGCTGACCGCTGCTGTTTCCTGGCGCGCCCGGCATGAACGACGAGAAAAAAACAGGCCTTACGCACGATGGAATGGCGACCCTTCGGGGTGGCGTACGCGGGCCGCCAGCGCGGCACGCTGCATGGGAAAGGACAGAGCTCACGCGCGACCTTACTGTACTCGGGCAAATCACGCGTGAGTGTCGAGACCGTATCTCTGCGTCCCTCACTGCTCGCGGCACGTCCGAACGTCCACATCTGTTGTCGCGGGGCTGTCCCGGGGACGCCAGAGCGGTAGATATGGACGTCTGCGCGCCCATGGGGGCGTACAGAGACTCCCGGGCACGACTCCGAAACAGTGGATACCCATCGGTCGGAAGAAGTAGGTAGAAACATATTTTTGTTTTCCTTCCAGTCGCGCGGGCGCGGGTCAAATTACTCGCGTGCAAAGCCGCCCGTCGACGCGACAAACGCCAGCCAAGTGGGCCGTGATGCGCAGAGGAGTGCGTAAACGGGGGGTAAAAATTCAAATTTTCTCGGCCAGATCCCGCATACGAAGCCGTGGCCGGCGCTGCCTCGCCCGCCACGCCGACGACATCACCTCGGACGTCAAGGCATCTCCAGGCAGCACGCCGGCGCCACAGAAGATTCATGCGACAACCGCCCTGCCTGAGCATCACCCTTCCGACAAGGGACCCTGTGCTGGACGTCGGCGAGCTACGTCAAACTAGAGCGAGAGAGCGAGGCCGCGATCTGTTGCAAGTGGCCGCTCCCGAAAACCTTCTTCACGCGCAGAGCTCCGAACTTGAAGTTGATCCGGACAACTGGACTGGCTCCAGTAATCGTGCCGTCATGCGGCCGGGTCCCATCGCGCAGGAAGCCCAGCAGCATGTCCCAAGCCTCTGGGTGGTAGGTCTCCCCGACGCAGTGGCCACCGCCTACCGCTGTCACCATTACACTGTCCCCAAAGTTTCTCTTGTACTCCTGAGCCATGTTCATGCCAGTGCGGTCATCGTAAAGTGTCTGTGCCATGAAGGTGGGGATATCCTTGTTCGCGAAGCCGATGGGCATAGGCAAGATTGGCAAACCATACATGGCATTCGAATAGAGATCGAACATGTTGAGGCCAGGGCCGAATGTTGGGTCGCTTCCAGTGACCGTCATGGTCTGCACGGTCTGTGCCCGGGACCAGCGTCCAGTCATGTCCAAGGCCGGGATGAGTGAGAAGACGGAAACCTGGTCCCAACCCGACCCCTCCTTTCCGAAGAAGCTTACGGCAGCACACGGGTTCTGGAGAAAGAGGAAGACCATCGAGGGCAAAATGCTGAAGAAGGTAGGCCAAGTGAGATCCTGATATGCCCCCTGCTCGCCGTAGATTTCCTTGAGAATTGGAAAGTCGTACATCCCCAAACCTGCAAGGTCCAGAGTGAACAAACTGGTCATCAGCTGCATGGGCAGCGGCCTCCCACACTTCTCCAAGTACCAGCTGCCCCCCGACGATGAGCGCGCGAAGAGCTCGTCGATAGCCTCGTTGATGCCGCCGGTAAAGACATACTCCGGCTTCTCAGCATCTTCCTCAGAAAGCGGGTTCGCGGTGCAAGCGGGTCCCATAGCCGTGCACTCACTCTAGAGAAAGCCGAGCACCTGGGCAACGTTTTTGGCCGCCTCCTCTGCATACTTCAATAGGTCTGGCTGAGGTGCCATGAGGCCGGTCACGGCGACTCGTTTCAGAGAATTTGGAAAGGCCGACGAGCATGCGGCTGCAACACGAGTCCCGTACGATGCACCGACGACGGTGATGCTCGGTGCACCAAAGGCCCAGCGCATCCACTCAATGTCATTAACGAGAGCACCTGTTCCGACGTACTGCAAGGGTTGGTACGAACTGCCATCTCCAGCATCTCGACGGTATCTGTCCATGCACAAGGTGGTCATCTTCATTTTGTCGTCGAGGTGCTTGTACAAGAGCTCTACATTGCCCCAATCGCCGGGGACACTGAACGGCATGGACTCGGCCAAGTCGGCACAACGGGGAGCTAACTTTCCCACTCCCTGGACTTCAACACGCTGTGCCAAATTCCCATTGAGCTTCCGGGATTTGGCATCCATCAAGAAATCATAGATCTGTTCATCAGAGAGGGAGCTGGGATAGATGCCGTAAACCGTTGCGATCGCTGACAAGCCAATGCCCCGCTGGTCCACGCTCACGATGTCATCCTCATCTAAGAGGTCGTCCGGGAAGCCGTAGGTGGTCAGGGGCCGGATGCTTGGATCGGGGCCGCCAGAATGATAAAACATCAAGCCCTTTGGTGACGGCTGTGTCCTGCACAAGGTCACCGCGAACCAGACTGTGTCTGCGACCGGCGTCTTCTCGGGAGTGGAGTAGAACAGTGGGGTGTTCAGCTCCACGAAGACCTGCGTGTAGTAGACTTTCTCCGCGCTCACTACCTCTTTGCGATCGCCTCGTTGGCACTGCTGGCGCTTCCTCCGAAGGCAGTGCTTGCACACGTTGGACTTACTTGCTGCCGACGTTGCTCGAGACAAGCCATGAGTCCGTAGAAATCCCTGCCATTGCTGCACAATTTCGCTTCGTCGGCCTTGCAATCCTCGCGGACCTTCTGAACAAATGGGTGGACCTGAGGCTTCCAGAGCCTGGCCTCATTCAACTGCTGCAGATGGAGCGGCTGCTCCGTGCGGAGTCTGGACTGAAGGAGAGCAACTTCCTCGGCATCGCTGGAGCCGCATGCAGAACTTGAAGGCCCATCGCACGAACCACTCGCAACAACAACGACCAAACAAGAAGCAACCAAGCCGACGAGGCCAAGGGATGGCCTTTGAATATGCGCCATCGGAGCACCAGATTTGACGATCTCCCGTCTCGGTTGGAGCCGAAGTCACTTGAGCCAAAATGGCTTGAGCCATAATGGCTTGAGCCAAAATGGCGACGGAAAAAGTAGGTAGAAACATGAAGTAGGAAGGCGTTGAAAAGAGATTGGGTGTCCGTCCGCCCTCTAAAGAGGACGGAACAGGTGAAGCCACTCGACCATTGAAGTAGGAAGGCGCTTAAAAGTAGATTGGAGCCTGGGGTTCCAAAAATACCTACTTTCAACGACCAATGGGACATGCCCATATTCTGGAGGAGGAAACTTCTCACACCGTCTGGTTTTTGGCCAGGCCTCGGGCGGACCCTGGCGGCCCCTCGCGCAGATCGATCGGGCTCGAGGACTACGCCGCGAAAAGATATGGGAACCGAGGCTCTGGGCCGTGCCTGTTCGCGGTGCTGCGTCTTTTTCGCGACGTGGGATCTCGGGGCCTCTTTTGGCGGCGCGCAGAAGGGGGTAGGAGGAGGGGGGAAGGCTTCTTAGAAGCACCCCTGCTTCTCAGAAGGCGCGGGCCTTACATAATGGAGAAGGCCCGCGCCTTCTAAGAAGCAGGGGTGCTGCTAAGACGCCTTCCCCCCTCCCCCTGCCCACCTCTGCGCGTGGCCGACTCGTGACCGCGTCTCCTCGGGTCCTCCTTGGGCCAAGCGCAGGCCAGGGTGCGGAGAGGGGAGATGCACAACATCAGCAGCACAGTCGAGCCTGATCGGAGAGGGCACGTGAGAAGACGCGAGGCACCTCCAATGGCAGCATGGCTCCGAGGTACCATAGCACCTCGCAGCTGCGGATGTGAGACCCAGACCCCCGACGACATGATGTTTGTCGTAACGGCGATCCCCAGAAGTCTTGACCCATTCCACAGGACCGGCTATTCGTCCCGAGTCGTGCGTTGGCGGTCCCGAGGCCTCGTACGGGCCCCCAAATGCCAAAAATGGCGAACACACAACTCCCGTCGTGATGCTGTCATTACTCAAGGGGGTCTGGGAAGCGGGGCCAGCGGGGTCGTCGGCAGTCTTCGAGGCTCTGAGGAAGAAGCCAGCCGCAGGCGCCAGGTCGCGGGGTGGGTCGCGAGGTGGGTCGCGGCCCGTGGGTCGCGCGGTGGGTCGCAAGGTGAATCGCGGGTGGGTCGCGAGGTAGGTCGCGGGTGGGTGGCGGGTGGGTGGCGGGTGGGTCGCGGACGAGTCGCAGGTGAAACGACGACAACAACAACGCAACAACAACAACCACCACAATAATAGCAACAATAATGACAACAATCACAACACAACCACCACCACCGACAACAACAATAACAACACCGACAGCAGCAACAACAACAACAACCACAACAACGCGACGGCATTCTTCACCTCGAAACTCCACTTCAGCCACGCGCCCAGGGACAACGAATGACCGCTCGGCCACTTCACTCTGATAAGTGCCCTTTGCCCAGGAAATGCAGAGGGCATGACATCGTGATTCACACATGCTTTTACAAGCACGATGGAAGCCCTGAAGCACGGAGGACGAGGAGGACGACGAGGAGGAAGGGGTTTGGGATTCCGAGGCAGATTAAGCTTGGATCCTGCCAGCAGCATCTGGCACTCATCTCGCAGAACACGAGTGAGACGAACAACCAGCACGGGCACCGAGTGAAGCAAGCTCAGTACAGAACGATGGGGACCCCAGCAATCAGAGCGGACGGGACGCGTCGAGCCGAAGCAAGGAGCCCACACACACACACACACACACACACACACACACCGCAGCACGCTAAAACCCCCCTCCCCGTAACCAACCCCACCCACACATCAAGCGGCTTGGCCATCATCGGCTCGAGAAATTGACAGCGTGCTCCAGGCAGACAGACCGGCACGAGAGCTCATGCAGGCACGGCCGCCGCGTCTTGGTCACTCGGCCGCTCGGGAGAGGGAAGGGGGGGGGAGAGGGCCAGCAGCGAAGGCGAGGGGGGCAGCCGGGACACCGAGCTGATGCCTTCGGCTCGCTCCTCTTCCCATGCGCGACGCGCGAAGACAGGACACATCGGACTCCAAACCTGGCGAGCACAGAAGAGCCGATCGGACGCCTGGCCGAAACGTGCGAGAGCGGACCCAACTCACACTGCCCGCCATCGTGCTCAGTGGTGGCCCTGTTGGTCGTGGGAGCGGGGATGATATCTTCGCACCCCAACCAGGCACGAGGGACGAGAGGACGACGGCGAAAACAGCAGTGATCTGCGCACAAGAAAGCAGGAGGCACGAACACGGACACAACAGGCCCAGACCTGGAGGTGCGCTAGACATCGAAACGGGCAACGGAGCATACACGTGGCTCACCTACCCTGTCGAGCACGGTCAAGAGGGTCTGATGTGTGGACGATCTCACACTTGAGCCTCGCCAAATGGGCCAAGCACTTAGCGGAGCATGTGCGAACAAGAAGAACATCCTGGGGCACTGAAATACATGATCCTGAGCGCCGCTACTTTTAAGTCGGGCATGTCACCCTACAGGCGGATTTTGGACGAACAAATGTCAAACAATACTCCCAAATTGTCAACAACAGACCAAGCATCGTCCCCCGAGTATTGTTTTACCTACAAGCGGATTTTGGACGAAACATAAAAAATAGTCAAACAATACTCCCAAATGGTCAAAAACAAACCAAAAATCGTCCCCCGAGTATTTTTCACTATTTCTGAATATTCCTCCTGTAGCGGGGCGTGCCCGACTTACCGCTACTTCCATCGAGCAATGGGGAAGGGAGGGAGGAGAACATGTGACTGCCGCTGCACGGTAATTACTGGGACTACGCAGCATGGCACACGGGCGGCGAATTCGCAGCCTCCAGAGGGGGCGGCAGCTGAAACATGGCCCCGCGCGGTGCAGGTCGGCACGCCTTGGAAGAAAAACGTTGTGGTAGCAGTTGAGGGTTGTGCTACATGAGTGGGACAGAAGACGTGCCAAATAGCTTGCACAACCCGTCGGAGCCAACCTGCATCCATAAAATCGCCTCTGATGTGGGCGTGGAGATTGTTGTACTCTATGGGTGGGACGGAAGACGTGCCAAATAGCTTGCACAACCCGTCGGAGCCCAACTGCAGCAATACCATCGCCTCTGATGTGGGCGTGGAGGTCGGGGGTGGAGCTATAAGCAGTCTGTGACGGCGAGGAGCCCCTCTCAAGAGGGGCACGCTCCCCCCGCCTCCGCCGCTTCCCCACCGGGGCCTGATCTGACCAAGGGGCGTACTACCCAAGGGGGGGCGCCACGCCCGACTTGACAAAAATCGCACAGATGGTCACATGAGTGAGGACAAGGCATCACATCAGCCGGTCGCATCACGGCAGAACGAGCAGCACAAAGTACAGCGCCAAGAACGCCCTGAATGAGCGGGCTAGCTGCATGCAGCTGGCCTGACTGATGGGAGTCCAAGGAGAGCACACGTCAACGGACAGCACTTTCGCGCCTCGCGGCAGCTACTCGCCGGCGCGACCAGAAGGAGCGACAGCGTAGACTCTGGGCGTGGACAAGTTCTCCACTCCCTGTCAAGGTGAGCACCGTCGCACCGAGGCATCCTCCAGTCAACAAGGGTCAAAACGGTACCCACCCAAACCTCATCCAGACGGCGCAACGCAGCCGTCCAATCAGCCAAGGACAAAACGATAACGAAGCTCATCGAGGCGCCGCAGCACGGGACAATCCCCGTCCACCGGGTCCGGGTCCCAACTCCTGGAAGTTCATCTTCCGGCAACTATGGTGACACCCGGTGATATGGGCCGAGGCGGGTTCGACGTGTCCGAGGCCGCCCGATGGTCAGGCGTGCGAGAACCGATGCGTGCCTGCGTCCAGGACACTACGTGCACCTCTGTAGACTCACGTCCCACTTGCACTGAGTGTGGGCTCCCGCCCGGGGCGGAGCATCAGAGAGCGGGGAGCAAAGTAGTCCTGTCTGCCCGTTTGGGTTTTTGTACTCGCTCAACTTCCGGATCGGCGCGCTGCTGGCTAGCATCGTTCAGAATGGCGCTCTCGCACTAGCGCAGGCCACCTGTGTCAATCCGCGCTCTTCATCATCGTCGTCGCCCCGCTGATTCCCCCTCCCCAGCCTTCCCCTCCTCATCCTGTTCTTGCTCCCCACCCCACTCCTGACCCTGTTCATGCTGTTTCTCCTCGCCATTCTACTTCGTCATCATAATATGATTCCTCTTGCTCATCCTCTTGCTCATCTCGCACATCCTCCTCCTCCACCTCCTCCTCCTCTTCCTCCTCCTCCATTGTACGCAGCCTCTCATGTTTAACGGCGCATGAGTAGGGCCGCTTGGGGCCTTCCAAATCTTCTATGACACCCGTCGGCGGATGTAAACAGACAGCGCAATGCTCAATAAATGGGTGGAAAGTGTAGGAAGTCAAATATGGCGCGCGAGCGCGCCTAGCTGGCCTCGTCC